TTAAAAATCTTATCTCTCAAGTTAAAGTGTCAACCCTTAATTGTGTTACATTGCACGCAAATCGATCGGGCCTCTTATCGTTAGTCTTGGAAGAATGCATTCTGCGCCTCAATTAGTATACTATATACTGTACGATAAGTTTGTATTTGTAGGGGTAATGGTGCAGAGTGAGCTGAAAGAAAATTTTAAATAATTTGTAATATCTCAGTATTTATTATCTCATAAAATAATAAAATTTCTCCTTGTCCAAATTAAAATGTCAAATATTTTCTTAACCGCGCTTTTTTGGAGTCTGACAAAGATACGCTGTTTCTCGATAAGGTGTATTTAACTGGCCTTCGTCCCTCTTGTTACCAGTATTGATATGGGGACATTAGTTATGAATAGTAATTGTGTGACATTTACTGTATTTAAAACTTGATGATACTGTATATTAGTTATTGGGCTATAAAGTGTTGAGACGTGAGAAAGGAAACTAATCAACATTTTCTAGACTTGATGTTATTCCTAAAATCTTCGTATGATGGAAGATTTGAGTTTGTTGTTGCCAATTCAGAAATCTTTTTCTTTGTGCTTGAAGAGCGCAATTCTCTTTTTCGTGGTTGGATTTATTTTCGAGAGGTTTGATTCGTTTACAGTTGTAGCAAATGTGAGTCAGCTTCCGATGGTTATTGTTTTCAGCAACCTTATGATGTTTCGTGGTTGCATGATTTCGGATAGTGTTTGATATAGGCGATTTCTTTGTTCAGAGGCCGCAGTGGAAAAAAAGGGATATTAGGTTAATTATCGTTAGTAGTTATGAAATCGAAATTGTGTAATTCAACTAGAAGTTTAGGTTTTTTTGGGGGGGAAGGGCTGCGCTCCCTGTTTGTTTTATTAAGAACTTTACAGTGTTATATTTAGGTTAATTGTATTTAAAAGATGAGGTAAAGTATAGATAATAAGTTTTAAGAAATCGACAGATATAAGTTATTTATTCTGATTCTTTATGTATTAGTATATTTGAGAAGTCTAGTTTGTTAGTTGCGATATCGGAAAATTTCTTGGTTGACCGTAAGGTGCTTTTCGTGGTTGACGTGGTTTATGTTTGGGGTTGGTCAACTGAGTTTTCTTCTGTTATTAATATTAGTTCAGTTGGAGTATTTGTGTTAGATTCTGAGCTGTTATTATTGTTAGTAGGGGTGAATAGTTTCGGTTTTTTTAGAAGTTTGGTCTGCAGTTTCCGTTAATGAACTGTGTAGTAGTGCTCTTTTTTCGAGGCAGATTGTTTGGAAGATGGGATGGATGGTGATGGTGTGGTGTATGGTGTGGTGTATGGTGTGGTGTATGGAGTGGCGCCAGTTATGAATTCAAAGTTGTGCAGTTTGATGTATAATTTGTTTTCATGTATGTCGAGTTCGCCTACTATCGAGACTTTGATCCCAATCTGGCTTTTTTGGTTCGATCATATAGATTTTTTTTTTGTTAATATCATGTCGAACTATGATATCAAAATTCAGCCAATTTTGTTGAGGGACCGCTTCCGGTGACGTATTGGCTCGTTTTGACTGTAATATTGCTATGTTATTTCAAATTTGAACTGTTGATTTTGTTGTTCCAATTACCCGGAGCTGAGTACGGGCATTTGGCATTGACGTAGGCACTTTGGAAGAATTGTTGCATTAAAAATGCATTTATCTGTATGATGTGTGAGTGGAAAGGTGTTATAACTGTATTGCGTTTTTGGGTATAAGGTTTGCGCACATATATATATTACGTTTTCGCGAACGTCAGTCACTGTGCCGGCTATTTCAATTACGTCGTCGGGAGAGAACGTGTTTGTGACATGCCAATTTGAGTTTTTTTTAGGAACATATGCTTGAAGATGGACGCAAATTGGCTCGTTCGCAAAATTGAGAAAAATACCATTTGCTTTAAGTAAAATAGTTTCAGTTTTAATTTCTTCTTTTAATGTCGTATACATGTATGTGGATAGGTCAGGAAATAATAACGGTTCTAATTCAGGATCTGTAAAACTAAGTGGTAACTGTTGTTCGTCATTATTCAGAAGAAAACCTATAGCTAAAGGGAAATAATGAGCATCCTCATTATGTATTTCATCAGGTAAAACATAAGGCGGCATTACTATATCTGGTGAGTGAGTAGGGAAGTACTGTTATTATCTTCAGAAATGTGCATTGCTTGTTCATTTTGTTAGACATTTTCTTTCAAAGTAATAAATAGATATTGTTTATTACTAATTACTTATTATTAGAGAATAGGGTAATAAATTGGACTGTTGTATTTTATATTTAATTCAGAATAAAATGAGAAAGTCGGAGATATATTTATATTCTTTTATTTGAAGACGATGATTTTAAGGCCCGTGCGAAAAATTTTTTATGCAGAAATGTTGGCAAACGACGATGATAAAAAATGACTGATTATGACTCAAAATATGGTGGCGAAATAAAATAAAAAGGGCATAATAATACTCAATACGTCCACAAGCTTGGGTGGTCTGTGGGTAGAAGTTTTCCTGAAAATCTACAACAGAAAATTACGTATTTGTTGGTGAACGCCAAAATATTTTTAGAAAAATAAACAACCTTCCAGTTAAAAATTACCTGGAGGTTCAGTAAATCTCCCAAAGAGCGTTTATGAGATGCCAGTAAATCTCCTCACCAGGGCGGCTCGAAAGGATCTCGAATGATGGTCAGCGAGCTGGCGTCAGGAAAGGATTTCACTGACGAAATGACGAAAGCAAAGCTTGATAAATTACTAAATATTAAGTGTATTCGTATTATGCAAGTGTGTAAATATACTGAGGTAACTTTGCAATAATTATCTTGCAATGATTATCTTCCTTCCATCACACAACAGGTATATAGTCTAAAACTTAAAATTTTAAATATAAAAATTTAGTCTAAAGATAAAGCGATTATTTTATTCAAGTTATAAAATATAGTTGTTCAAATCATTCGCCAGTATTAAAGGATTAACCCTATGCTAGAGGTTCCACTAGCATAATGAGTTTGGATAAATTCAAGTTGAAACAATTATGTCTGTTACGTTTAGTAGCTACAACCTACCAGATACCAATATAGGATGGTTGCGGAAATCTACTATCGCAAGTATGCCAATAAAAAATTGTAATAAATGTTGACATACTCATCCTCTTTTTTCGAGAACAAGTAAGCAGCCCTGACAATATATTTTCATCAATGTCAAAATTAATAAATCGATCCCAAAAATGGCTAAATTTCAATTCGAATCACAATAATAATTAATAACAGTCAACCGCTTCGTTTGATGCCTATGCCTTGTTGATAAAAGAGTCCAAGTCCTATTACGCCAGAGTTCACCAGTGAGTAGAGTAGGGATACATTAGAACCCACTCGATACAAAGTAACCCTCTTATTTGACGTTTCTGTATGCTCCGCCACCACCAATGCTTGAAACACAATTGTCTGGTAGTGTTGTAAAATTTTGCCGTTAGAAAATAAGTCGTTCTTGACAAATTTTTTCAATATAATTATCGTCGTCATTGTTAGCGTTGGGTAACCAAAGAGAATAAAGCGAGGGGTCGACACTATTCAACAATCTTTCTTGTTTTTATTGAATGAGTGACATTTTATTGTTCGGTTGATTGGACAGTTGTATATATTTGTTTCGTAGTCCATTGATTCGAACAGTGGTTTCAAAGAGTCGCTTTTGGTTATTCCCAGGAATGGGGCAGGAATTCCTGCGCCAGTTGCGCAATACCTTGCTATCGTATTATGTATGATTGACTTTTGATGGCCCAGCTTTCTCGTTCTGAATGATCAAATAGCCACCCTCCAATAATTATCGCGAGGAACTTTTATTCACATCCACCCTCCAATAATAAGGCCCTTGTCGTTTACACTGTGTTGTCACGTGCATTTATGATTTCGGAGCATTTGTCCGAATCGTTGGGTAAATCGAATAAGCTTAGATTTTTAGTTCTCAACAATGAAAACAAGATATCTGCATAAAGTTATTATTTGGAAGTAATCTTAAACCTTTCGATCGAGTAAAAGACTTTATTTTAGACTTTTAAACGTTAGATATATGCATGCTCATTTATTGCGGCGAGTATGGTCTCGATTACTGAAATAATTTATTATCACAAACGTTTATCATATATAATTCTAATAATAGAGCATTTACCACTATTCGGACATGTTTTAGCTACAGATCAGTTCCTTATAACATATATAATAGTTGTTGTTTATTGCTTCATTATTTCCGATCTTAATTGCTTATTAGGAAAATATCACATGACATGTCACACTTGGTAGCTTAAATTTTACTTTCTTTTGACATAGCGATACGATAGAGTGCTAACAACGCCAGTTTAGCAGGCGGTTCACCGACATTTGAGCACGAATGCGCTTCTCTTCCGCCTGAGACTCTTGAAAACTGGTTTTTACCATGTTTGGAGTGCGATCAGGAAGGCCTAAAGAAATCCTATTCCACCTGGGACCATGGACACGATACAATCGTTTAACAGTTTCACGTTCAGAAGCAGTTAACGGCCTTTTGTTGACTAGTTCATTTCAAATAGAAACGACAGGTTATTATATTTGAATAAGCATAACGGCAGTCACTGTAATATGCAAATATGAAAGGTATACATACTTCCAAGACGCAATGCATTACGCCATCTGCATCAACATGAACGTTGTAGTAATTTCATTGTTCAAAATCATGTCAATATCTAGGAGCAACGTTTGCAACGAATATTATATGAATGTGTATTAACGTGTTTACCTTTGTGAACACTGCTGGGCCGTCTTAGTTTGCAATATGTTGGATATTATTGTCCATTGAGCGCCGTACACGTCATAGAGATTGATAACGGCAGCATCTTCCTAATACAGATAATAACGAGTAAGGAATATTATTAGTGTATTCAGCAGGCAAGACGTCGCTATTATAAGATACTTACCTGAGAACTCCATTTCGACATGATCGTGAAAACAGGCGTGATTTGAAAAAGCCGTACGTAGCAAGAGGCATTCTTAAATATTGCGACAGCAAACGCCAAGATTCGTCAAAAGAACAATATTCATCAAAAGAACAATACTTGACCGAGACTTTTCTAAACATGGTAGGTACTGCTCGGGCGCTTTATTTGTCTGAAGGAGGCATAATGGTCGTTTACGCCTCATTATCGTCTGTTTGAACAAACCGGTTGGGGGGATTAGATTGTGTAGCATAAAAATTCACCGCCTTTTTTCTTATATTCATCTTTACAACTGCCTATTGTAATTATGCAAATTTCCTAAGCAAGAGTTGAAGCTTATAATAACCAGTTCATGTTTAATGGCATTTCTTTGTCTTTTTATTAGATGAGTTTGGGATCTGTTTCTTTTCAGATTTCCATCTGAAATACGAGATGCATGGCAATCGACAATTTATCAATAGAGAGTTGTCGATTCTTTGTAATAAGATCTCTGTCTGTTGCAGTTTTTTCTACGTGATTGATAGGCTAATAACCATTAATTCGTTTAATTATTCAGAGTTTATTCCAATCATTCAGAGCATCGGAAACATTCAGGTATTTGACTATGTTCTTTATCGTACAAAACACCGAATTGATTTGCTTTTTGCTCATTCTCGAGATACTGATTTTCAAACACCATTTTTTAAATAGCTTGGCAAAGTATACTGATCCGACGTGTTTACGGCTTGGAAATGATTCCAACGGGATCCAAAACCATTCTCAACTCCGTCAATACTTATATGGTCAGAGTTTGCCAAGTGTGGTTGCAGCAAAGAAGTGCGTGTGTGAATGTAAAGGAAAGAAATCCGGAGCGACTATGAAGCATTAACAATACAATTGAAATACAATAATCGGCATTGGTTTTCCCGAAGTCTTATTATTTCAAATTTTAGGAAATAGAAAAAAGGTAAAAAATGAAAGGAAATTTTCAGCCAAACAAAACGTGTTACTATATCTTTTTTTGGCGAACAGGAAACTCTCAAGTCATGTGGCTTTTTTCACATGCGTATGATGTAAAGTGTTAAATAATAAAGAAAATACTCGGCCAAACAAACGGCTCTCGTTATGGCGAACAATGATAGCTTCGGTCTTTTTCACATGCTTTTGCCATAATCAGTTGTTTTGTTATATTGTTTTTTATTGTTATGCTATTACTATTCGACGAGATTGTAAATTTTGCTGGGGCATATTTGTGTTCAAACAATTCTGTATATTTACTATTACGTTCGGTTTTTACTGCTGCCCTCGCATGTATATTGTGTGTTAAAATTAATGCAACAAGATTAGCGTCTAAGCCGAACCCCTATACGCTTTACTTCATATGGTAAAAATTTCATTGTCTGCGGTCAATAGTTTATATAGCAAAAATTCATTGTGTCAACCAAGCCGACCTCGGACGAGCCTAACACTTATCGCCTTTTAATACAATAGTGCTCATACGGTCACTTGGCATTGTTTACACGTCATTTTCTAATTATAAAGTTCCATTTTAATAGATATTCCCAGTGCTTCTCAAAAAAAAAAAATCTAAATATTCAGGAAATTAAATTAATTCCTATTTACGTGTGTAGCTTTATTACTATAGCGGTCCATTGCAATTTTGGTTCATTCCAAAATTTAACAAAGAACAACACTGTTTAACTTGGCAGCAACTACGTCTCTTCGATATACAGTATTCTTTAAATATTTCGCTTTAAGATACTAAAATATAAATAGTTGGTTTTAAAATCACAGACCCTGAAGATCATATTTATTATTTAAACGGGCTCGATAATCATACTCCACACTGCCCTAGGACGGAATTGATATGGCATAACACACAAAAAACTACATTAATATTAACATTTCCAAATCATGAACCGGAGAAACCTTCACGTGAACGTGTTCTCACGTTGATCATCATACCAAATATCGCGACTGATCGGCGGGAAAGAAAATTGAACAAACAAACATTGCCCTGCCGGGCATTTTTATTTTAAAATGCGTGCGAAAAAAGTATCGAATGGGTGGCCTTACAATTAGTAATCCTATCCCTTAGTCTGTAGGCCAAATTTTGACAGATTTGCCCTTTAATTTGTTGTGCATTTTTACGAATATTGTTATTAGCTTTCTGCACTTTGACCATTAATAAGTATTATTTATCTTGTTCTAAACTTTCAAACAAGCTACATATCTTAGCAAAAAGTAGCACATACGAAGAATAACACATCTTTAAAAATTGTTTTTGTAAAAAAGTTTATGTAAAATTTTTAGTTTTTTATAGAATTTACTTTATTGAGACTATGGCAGACTTCCCCTATTACTAGACAGTACTTTTGTTTCACTTTATTCCGAATCCTATGGGCCTAAAAATCTCAACAAACCGAATATTTAAAGATAACTACTCCGACCCCTCGAGTTTGTGATATTTATGGACGTATTTACTTGCCTCTTATATTTCCATTTGTTTCTCCAATGTTTTACTTTTTTCAGAGTCTTCACTCTCCTGTTCTTCTCCTGATTATATTCATCGCTGATTTGGATCTCCTCAACATGATCCACAAGCTCACCTATCTCTTAGTCTACCATGATTGTTTTATGGAAATTACACCCAAAAGTACCAAGTATTGCAAACCAAAAATGACTTCTGGACTAGTGGCCTGGGACATTTTCATACAGAAAATCTATTGATATCACTATTGACACAGTTTATTATACGAAAGTGTAGTACTTTATGAAGTGACAAAGTTGGAGAAAAGTTCCTCGCGATAGTCACTTGTTGGGAGCTTCGGACATAACCCTACCCCTCTCACTCAGACATCACCCAAACATTTCTTAACCGCCTAATAACACTACGCTCTCTAGATCTACACACAGATCCAAGCACCCCTTGGATCTCCATACAAAAAATATACTCACTCATCAAAACCGCAATAGATAGATACATCCCCCCTACATAAGAACAAACAATCCGCCTTTTCTGGACTTTTATTCTCTTAATTTACTATGTAAAAGATAAAAACAGCTTAAACTGGGCTTTAGCGAGCACCTCGTTGTGAATAAAAGTTCCTCGCGATAGTCAATTGTTGGGAGATTCAATTCGTAAAAGTGTGTTACCAATTATCTGTCAATGGCAAACAAAGCCAGCGTTATGAAATAGCATATTGATTACTCCCGAAAGTTCATATAACCATGCTGGGCCAATTCGCACATGAATGATTTGGTAGTCTCGACAACCGGAAAATAACAATTTTACATTAGTAATTAGGAAAAAAAAAACCCTATGTCATGTCAGTTCTTTAGGCACGACGGTATGTACAATTGACTAACTCCAAATGATTATAGCCAACTTCTTACAGCGTTATAATCTTAAAACTTCCATATGGTATCAGCATTGGTGAAGTATCTGCTGACTTTTATTTTTGCCGTATCATTTCCACATGATTCAAGAGTGAATATTGAGTCTTCTAAAAAACTTCAACAATTGGGATAGTGTATAGACCGAGCTCTAGGCAAAAGCGTGAAAGTTGGAAAATAATCATAACACCCAGCGGGCTTGATTTCTGACCGCGTGTCTTGAAGCGATGCAAACTGCAACATGAAAAAGTGAATGGTTAGATGTTGAGCCAGGAAAAATCTAAAACGGCTCTTGGTTGAAATGATTGTTACCATTGAGTAACATCAAACGGTCTTCTCTCTACTGCAAACTTTCTTCTTTCACTTCGGCCTTTCTGTAGCATTGGATGGTATAACAAACAAGTTCGATACCGTGTCATCAATATGATTGGTAACACATTTGAACACTATTATTGTCTAAAACATATTTGAACGCTAATAATTGCAGCCATTATCAAGATCTCTTTATACCATATCCGAATCACACTTCCTAGATAAACCGGGATATGGGGCGCGTCAGCAATTAGACCGTTGTCCGAACACGAGAAATCAAGCCTTTCTTGATATACGTTGATATCGCTGGTTTCTGTAGCTGAATGTATTCGTTGATTGAACCCTCCCCTTTTTTGTTAACAAGATCCGGTCGCATGGAAACCGCTCTTCGTACCAGATTGCTATTTCCCTAGCATAAGATCAACTGGAAATTCCAACTGTACGCCAAGTAGCGTGGTTATCATCCAACACTTGATGTGACTATAAGAAAAATATATCGTTTTATTAGAAACCATTCCCCAAGACGAATAGCAATATCTCCGAGTTTCTTATGGTTTACCTTTTACTCCGTCTCTCTTCCATCCCCGAGCATTACCTCAATGCACGAATCATCAACTGAGCAGTGAGAAGTTGTTAGAAAATCAAACCCAAGGATGTTGTTTACGCCGAAAGCAGGACAAATTGCTTCTATTGAAATCAATCCTATCAGTAAATGCAAGATTTCGTAGCCCTCATCTCAAGTGTAAATTGTATTGCAGCGGTTTCTAGTACACTGAAACGAATCTTTCGTACACAGCCTATACGCTTTCCCTTCCAGCGCGATCATTTTGAAGCGGGGACTACCATTAGACTGTCTGTGCCCGTCTTTGTATTATATGCAGCGTAATTAAAGAATGCTGGAGTCATGTCATTACACGCTGCCGGGAGAGTAAAAAGAAACAATTATTAGTCGTTTTCATTTTGTAAACTTTGACAAATCCACGATCGATGACGTACGACATTCCATAAATGCTTCTGTGGTATTGTTGCAACCAGTTTACGCGTATCATATCTTGATGATCCGAAATCAGTAATGGCTGTTCTGTCAGTAAGCCGGAGGAGCTAGTTTCATTGCAGAGCGCATAAACGTCCTTGAAATTGCTAAGATGGTTGTTCCCATTAATCTAACTGAATAAAGCACGATTTTCCACACGTTATTCCGATGCGATGCTCTTAGAATCGAGAGTAGAAGGTTCGAGGGGTATGTCAGGAATCTAGATTTCCATGCACACATACCTTCTAATGCACTGCATAATGGACTAAACCCACCCCGCCGATCTTTTCAATATACGTCGGCAAATCTGTCAAAGTTTTCCAATGACAAGCGCTTGCATCCGTGATACAGATTTAACTATCAACTGTTTGCATTCAATGTATTATACTTCTAGCATTTTGGGATGTGCACCTGATATATTCCAGATTTTGTGTCACGTGTTGAAGGAGATTATCAAGCAACAGAATGTGCTTTATTATTTATCCGAATATGAAAAGCTAATACAATGACCTTTGGTAATAGCAATGTTTATGTTAAATTTCGTAACACTCTAAGCCAACGTTCCTTGAATCGCGCCGTTTTAGATGCATGTATGTGATTTAAAGTGAAATTTCAGCGTATGCAAGCATAATTGAATGTTTGTTATCAATTGTTCATAGCATGAGACACTCTGTCTTGACGCTAATTTAATAGAGGGAAGATGGCAACACGGCAGGCACCATATCGATTCAGTCAGCATTTTTTATGTATTTTTTGTATTATCCAGTATGGGCAAGCCGTGAGTAATGGATTAGAATGGTTTAGAATAGTGACCTTCACGATCAATCTACAGATTGATCGTAACGCTTGAGATGTAAGAAAAACTTTGGATGACATCTTGTTATCTTGAGATTCGAAGGTGCTGAACTGCAGTCAGAAAAGCAACTTGGTTAATTTAGAGAACTGTGCTTTTAGTTTTCAGGACGCTAATAGTTTGTTACTGTTTTTCGGCTTATGTATTACATCTCAAATATAAAAGCTGCGCACAATATGGGTAATTTTTCCCGCTGGATGGTATATAAATTGTCCACTGCTTAATAAGTCAGCCGATATACTTATTTGTCACGTGGTAAAGCGCTTCGCTTCTTTCCAGCTTCTGGAGCAAGTCTTCCTGCAGGATGCAAAGAAATCGTTGGTCGTCACTGGTTATCACCGTACTTTGTACTCTGAAAACAGTTCCAGGCTTACGAGAGCTGGTTGTAGTAAGCTCAGCTTCTAGCTTTAGGTCAAAAGTGACTGTTGGTAATCTATCCTATCAATAAATAATGGTCTTTTTTTTGGCCTCGGTTCCTCACGTAAGAACTGCTTTGTTTGAGGCAGAGGTTTTGTTTACCCATATTGATTTTTGCTGTGCAGATGCTTCTATCGCTTTGTTGCCAGTTTGGAATGCCGACTGACAGTTTAAAAGAAAGATTTCAATCGGATTAATGTCGGAATTTTACGCAACCCCAATCTACCATGCGTTGAGCATGACATGGGACTATATCTCGCTGAAAGACCGAATCCTCATTCCCCAAAGTATAATGTAATTACCAGAAAGGAGAGCAAGGCAAACTTATCTTCTCGGACTGTGCGCGTTGTAGAACCCGCCTATCCCGACCAGTAAGCGCTTTCGGTCGTCCGAGACGTCTCTTGGGTGTGGTAGTGTGTGTTTGCGGGAATAATCCGAGTTTGATAATAGACGTTCCTATGTAACTTCTGGCCGTTATTAGCTTGCTAGATATCAACAATGTTAATAGCCTTCCCATATATCACAATCTTTTCATTTGATTGCGCGCACTGATTGGACTATCACGTAAAACGCTATATTTATAAATAGGTGTGTTTCTGTGTAATGTAATACAACTGTCATTGTGCGTGGAAACTCTAATATAAAGTTTAATCCTGTAAAACCCGTTTATACGGAAACTCCCGTAAATACATATCCTCGCAGTGAGTGTACTACATGAATACAATATTCTACGATTGATGATTATATTGCTAGTCGTTGCACCCTTTCCGATTTTCTAAGTTATTATTCCATTGTTATTTCTCTTTGAAAGGGTTATATTTACAAATTATTTTTTTAATGATTTAAAGTTAGTGGGGAAAAGAAAAGCCTTTTTTTTTTCTTTTTTGTTAAACCCCTGCTATGTGTCGGTTTCCGTACTCATTGCTGTTATCGTTATTCATATTAACTGTATTTATATTATAATAATAGTAACAACTGCGTTAATTTAGCAGACGTGCTATGCACATTTGAGATCGAATACGTTTTTGCTCTGCTTGCGCCTTTTCCCAACTGGCTTTTACCATCATTGGAGTGCGATCGAGAAGGCCTGAAGAAATTCTACTCCACCTGGCGCCATAAACACGGTACAGCCGTCGAACCGTTTCATGTTCCGAGATAGTAAACGGGTTTTTGTTAACTGGTTTATATTAACAAGTTATTATATTTGTAAATAATAATCACAACATTATACAAATTTGAAAGCTACATACAGTGACTTCCATAAATATTGCACCACTCATGACAGAATTTTTAAACTATGGTCTTTAACTGACCAAAAGTGGTAGACACATGTAACATGGTTCATTTTTAATGTCTCATTTT